CCATTTGATAGGTTTCAAACTATGGGCAACTGTGTGGAACAGTTTTAATAGCTGAAACAAAAAGTTTTGCTTTATGGAAAAAAAAACCTAAAACCTAATTTTCTCAACGAGTAAATTCTACACGCATTATGTGCCTGCAGAGTTACTGACAGTAATTACACCACAGATCATGAGTTTTCCAGCTCAAAGTAGAAAAGAATTTTTTTAAAAAATGAAAATAGGTATGTTTGAAGATAGCTAAATATAAGTAATTATCTTCTCTGTGAAAATTGTTTTTCTCTTAAAAAAATTTCTCCCTCATTGAACCCATTTTGATGGTGACAAATAAATCAGACTTTACAATAACCTAAAACAAAACTAGGTCACTTTATCCAAGAGGGTAATTTAAAACAAATACAAACTGGTGATTTGCATTTTTATTTTAAGATAAATTTGATACTTCTGAAATCCGTGCTGAAGAAAGAAGATGCCAACAAATTTACTCATCACCGTGCCCAAAATTACGCTTTCTAAACAACAGATCTCTTTGCCATGAGATCAAAGATTAGTCTCCCCTTGGCAGACACCCAAATGCTATATATTCCAACTCTTTAAAAGCCAGTTTTGATTTCTCTGAGAAATAAAATACATCCAATATTACATATGCTAAATTAAATAAGCAGGAGACCATTATCCTGAGGCTGTCTCTGTACTTTGAGTTCCTATGCAACAAACTACAACCTATCTCAGTATGGAAACAAATGGAAACCTAACTTAGTAGTTTATCAGTTTTGCAACAAATGGCTGGGTTTCAGCCAAACACAAACAGCTGAGCTTCAGCCAATCACAGGCAGACAGCTGATCAAACCATGTCCAAAGGCAAACATCTAGCTGTAATCTATCAAGTTATTTCTGCACTTCACTTATGTGTTCAGCCTACAAAAGATAAGCTTTTATTGCCCATGCTGCACAGCAGAACTCTGAACCCCTTTAAGTTTTAAGTGCTGCCTAATTTATGAATAATTCTTTGCTCAAATAAACTCTGTTAAATTTGTCTAAAGTTTTTCTTTTAGAATATAAAAGCACCATGAGTACCTGAAATGTAAACTAGTCAGTGAATCACATTCTTCTTCAAGAATTAGCAGGCACGTATCACCTGTTTCTTTTTGGATCTTTTATTCCACTATTTCCTTTTTTTTACTACCTGGACTGTCCAAAACTTCAATCTTGCCTTTCCCAGCTTCCGAATTAGGAAGCTTAATGTTATCTATGGTGACTTCACCGGGGATGCTGTCATCTTCAGCCTCAGATTCTGAACTGTCCTCTGAACTGTCCTGTGAACTCTCTTCTGAACTGTCTTCTTCTTTTGAGTCTGACTGATTCATCTCAAACAAGGCCACATCCTGTAAAAAGTATTAGATGGGAAATTTATTTCAGGGCAGTTCCCTAAAAACTTGTAATAAGACAACATTGAGAACCACCAAAATTCAGCACAAAGATTGAAGCATAAAGGGCAAGAAATGTTTTTAATACAACATGGTACTTTTGTGTTTTTAGTTGCCAGGGTACACCTTAATAATGATTTGCATTTACTACAAGTTTAATTCTATATATACTAAAAACACCAACAACATTCATTCAACAAATATTAACATTAGGCACCACATTGGGTACCACAGATTCAACAACAACAACAAAAAATCAAAACAAAACCCTTACCTTCATGAAATTTACATTTTTGAGCAGGAGCCAACAAATTACAACCTGCAGGCCAGCCTAATGCCTACTTTTGTTTGGCTCATGAACTAAGAATGGTTTTTACATTTTTATTTTTATTTATTTTTCCTTTTTGTCTTTTTTGCTGACTGGTAACGGGATCGCAACCCTCGGTGTCGCGCCCGCACCGGGGACCGGCAACGGGATCGCAACCCTCGGTGTCGCGCCCGCACCGGGGACCGGCAACGGGATCGCAACCCTCGGTGTCGCGCCCGCACCGGGGACCGGCAACGGGATCGCAACCCTCGGTGTCGCGCCCGCACCGGGGACCGGCAACGGGATCGCAACCCTCGGTGTCGCGCCCGCACCGGGGACCGGCAACGGGATCGCAACCCTCGGTGTCGCGCCCGCACCGGGGACCGGCAACGGGATCGCAACCCTCGGTGTTGCACCCGCACTGCGCTCAGCCAGCGAGTGGGAACCGGTCTCCACATGGGATGGGAACACTCGGCGGGAGCGCCGTTGCGCTCCCAAGCGGCGCACTCTCCAGTGCGCCACCGGGCCGGCCCGACATTTTTAAAGTGTAGGAAAAAACATCAAAATAAGAACACTATTTTATGAAACATGAAAATTACATGAAATTCAAATTTCAGTATCCATAAAGTTTGTAAGCCTTGCTTATTCATTTATGTATTGTCAATGGTTGCTTTCACACTACAAGAGCAAAGCTGAGTAGTCACAATGGACAGTATGACCCTGCGGAGCCTAAAAAATTTACTATCTGGCATCATATAGAAAATGTTTGCTGACCCCTATTCTACAGGGAAAATAAAGACATGTTACATATAAAGTGTATGGTGGTGAAAATAAAAATAAATCAGGACAAGATCAATAACAGGGCCATCAGGGAAGGACTTTTGATGAGGTGATGACTGAAAAGAGATAGAGGAAGTCCAGATGCAGAAATCTGGGGAAAAGCATTCTACATGGAAAAACCCCAAGGGAAACAGTCTGGAGCAATGAGACTGGAGCTGGAGGGCAGTAAACAGGATAATTGTGTAGATGAAGTTAGACAGACAGGTGGAGGCAGGATTGTATGGGACCTTTGAAGGACTTCCAATTCATTAGAAATGTGATGGGAAACCCCCTGGTTCCCAAACAATGAACCACACACACTGAGAAAAACAGAATTCGTGTAGGAAAAAGTGGAAACAGGGAGACTTTTGAGGAAATTACTGTAATAGTCCACAAGAGAGACCATAATTACTTGGACCAAGTGACGCAGCAGTGGAGATTGTACAAAGTGGTTGGATTTGGAATATATTCCAGAGGTGGAGCTGACCAGATTTGCTAATAAATATTACTACTAACAATGGTATCAGCTCTACCCAGACATAAGTGTTAGAAAAGGAATTCCAGCGTAGAAAGAAGACATGAGTATAAATTGAGAGACAACGTTTACATGTAGCTTATGTGATCAATCACTCAAACACATCATTTATTTTTGCACACTCAGTGAAATCAGACTATGATTACCTCTTTCGGTGCTTCGATGGAAAAAGAAATATCCAGTTAGGACATTTAGTAAATTAAAGCTACAAGGTAACAAATGTAATATTTGACTTGAAAAAGCCCTCCTGTGACTCCATGTGAGTAAATCTCTAAACTTTACCCAGAGAAGCTTACTGACCTATAAGGCCTTAATCATAAAATAGCTATGCACCTCTTCAGTACTGGAAACATGAGCTAACATGAGGAAAATTAATACTTGAAAATAAAATGGAAAAATTATGTCTCTTCTTTCTAGGTGACGAGGCACACTGGTAATTTTACTATATGAAATGAAAACAAAGCAAAGTTACCATTTGTATAACTTTTCCAAGAGTCCCATCAATGTTTTCAATATTGAAACGACCAGGTGGTGCGGCTGACATGTCTTTTCTTAGCTTCTCATTTGCCTGGGCCATCTGTGGAAGAAAGGTCTGTACTTGGTCCAATACTATGAAGAGGAAATATAGTACATCAACATTTATGTTAGCAAATTCTAAAATCCAGTATTTCCTGTAGAATACTTCTTAATTAAATGGTAATCATAATAATAAATCTTTCAACTCCCTTCCATTTCAAAAACCTCCATCCCCTTCTGAATTCTTAAAGCAGTAGGATGACACAGGTCAGCAATCAATTATTTCTCAAATGTTTTGTGTTTCTCATAAATCCCAGAACTGTAAATTCCTAGAAGGCTGACATTTAACAAATAGTGACTGAACAAGAAGGCAGTCGGACTTGATAGTTAAAGTGCAGCAGGCTCTGTGGCTTTAGGGTAAGACCAACAAGTTTATTATTAATAGAATCCTAGTTACACTTATTACTTTCTAAATCACCTGGGGCAAGTTAATTAAGTACTGGTTGTTTTTGCCTGCCCAACATCTATTCCCCTTCCTTTTTTTTTTTTTTTTTTTTTTTTTTTTTTTTTTTTTTTTTTT